AGCACACAATACTTTGTTTATTATCGTCAAAGTGCACAAACTGGTGAGAAACAGATAGAAGGATCATTCTATGTTTTCTAACAGTTGTGCTTACACAATGGGACCCTGGGACTCTTAGCATAACTAGCTTATCAAATCTTAGTTAGCATTAGCTTACAAATGTTCAATGCGCCCCTGACATAAATACTGTAGGTTGGAGTGTTTCATTGCAACCTGGTTATTTTATTTTATTTACAACGATCTTCTATGCTGGCAGCGGTCTGATAGCGAAAAATAGCAGACCTGGTGAATGTGTAAATTGATAGAATGATAGTTTTACTCGTCCAATGGGTTGATGTTGTTTGTTTTGTAATTGTTGGCTTCCAGTGGATGAAATGGTCAGTTCCTGCCTGCATTGGACTGCTTATTGACTGATTGAGTGCGGTCACAGAAACATAATAATAATAATAATAAATTATATTTATATAGTGCTTTTCTGTTACTCAAAGATGCTTTAAAGGGCCCATGTCATGCTTTTCCGGTTATTACCCGTCCCCTTGTGTGTTATGAAGGTTTCTATGCATGTAAACGGTGTGCAGAGTCACAAACCCTCAAAGTACACCCTGTAGTGAGTAAAACTCTAACACAGAAAAGACCTGTCTATGCTGCCCCAGAACGCCTCGTTGGACATTTCTCATTTTCCATTGTTTGCTTCCTGGGTTCTGTGACGTGTGAATACCCAAATCAACAACAAATGACTGCCCAAATGGACCAATCCGTGCAGCACCTCACACACCAGGATCCCTTGGCTAACTAACAGGGAGTCCCCATTGACTTGCATAGAGCTCCCTGAACACTGGTAATAGACGAGTTGGGATGGCGGAGAAATGCTCTCCGCAGACCCATTCTCACAGCGTTATAAACCTTTTTCTTACTCAATATCAAGCCACACTTATTGTTTTTACTTCGGCTGTGAGTGTTTGTGTGTGCTCAGGATGACTTTCACTGTGTCTCGCTGTATCGCCGACCCGGAAACCTGTCCGCTCCTTGCAGCAGCAACGAGCCTCGCAACGTCCCGACCAATCAGGGCAGGAGCTCCAACAAGCCGTTAAGGACAGAGAGTGAATACACATACTATACAGAGATGCTGTATGAGAAACCAATGTGATTTTGGAACATTGCACAATTTAAATCTATTCTAGTAGACCTCAACAATGGAAATATGATCAGTAGAAATGGCCATGACATGGGACCTTTAACATGAACAAAATCCAATTTTCGCAGCCATAAGTAAACACTCAGGCTACACTCCGTCAGTCTGCTGACAACAAAGACATATTGACTGTGATCACTGGTGCCTGCTGATTTCATTTCTGAAGGAAAACACAACATTTGACAGGTTTGGACTTTGTCCACTGAAATCTGTCTCTTTCAATCAATAAAGTTTGGCTCAGCGGCAGTGAAATCAGGAATGTGTGTGTGTGAGTGTGTGCGCATATCTGACTCTTTTGACTGGATCAAGTGCCCTCCACAGCGCCCTCCCTTATCCCAACCCTCATCCCAAATTAAAAGGACTTGCAGCTAATTAAAAACGTGTGTGTCTGGATGTTAGCCAACTTCATGTTCTATTCATGCAGATTAATACATATTTGCCGTTGCCTGTGGGGGCTGAAAAGCATCTGTCTCTGCCATTAAACATTCATGAGTGTGCAGGACAAAGGGAAAGAGAGCCATGGAGAGCCACTCCTCCTCATATCAGCACACATCTTAATGGAGCACATTAAATTGGAACGGCCAAACAGGGAATTTCACAATGACAATGGCATTCATCACACCTCTGTTTTAAATCTCCCCTCAGATCAGTCTGTGTGGCCGGAATTCTGTTAATGCAAAAATCTACGTATTTTTGTATTAACTCATTTTCTACTAACATGTATTCCACTCATATACTTCACTTCCAGTTTGGCATACAATAAACATGCAAAATGACATATTTGAATGATGTATTGGTACATGGTAAAACCTGATTTCCATTTAAACACCAGGTTAAATGGTTTAATGATGTGACAATAGAGTGGGCGGTTAGTGGAGAAATAGAATAAGTCAAAATGTAACTCAACATATATACATAATGGAAGAAGGCTGTGTCTTTAGTGTCTATATATTTAAATATTAGGTCATCATATTGATTTGTATTAATTGTGCATGCAATTGGTAAGTTAGTTTGAATGAAGGAAAATAACCCTGCACTTCTGTATAATGTATTAACATCAGGTTTCATCCCTATAGTAAACACATGCAAGACTAGATACTAGAGAGAAAAACCTCATTATAAATCTGTGGCGTGACACAAGAAGGTCAGAAGATGATTACATGAATAATTAAAAACATACATTCTTATATGCACACATGTGAGTCTGACACTTGAGCAGCTCCTGTGTTTTCTCTTCTTTTTCTGAAAACCTTCAAATATGACTTAGCAATTACACTATGAGGGTAACAATATGTCTTATAATTGGTTTATAATTAGTGATGCATTTATCTATCTATCATTTACATTTTCAGGAGGAGATAACACTAATTACTTTTTAGACTGCAAGGTATTTCCATCCATTATATTTTCTAATCATTGGAATGAGTACAAAAGTACAATATGTACTGCTAAAATGTATTGGACTGGAAGTATAAAGTAGCATAATATGAAAAAAACTCAAATGAAGTACATGTACCTAAGTACAAAACTTGAGTACATTATAGGTCTCCTATCATGCAAAATGCACTTTTTAATGTCTTTTATACATAACTATGTGTCCCCGGCGTCAGGAGACTCACTAAGTGTCAGGAAACAAAACCCTCTCTCTTTTCCTCCATACCCACATCTCTAAAAACGGGGGAACAACGGAGCTGATCCAGATTTGCTGAGTCATCAATCAATCAATAGGATACGGCTGTAGTAGGCCTAAGGCCTTTTAGTCGCTCATAAATAAGTAGATCACTGTTCTTATATACTATGGATGCTGGCAACAGTCACATAGTCCAAAGTGAAGGTGATGTTTGAGGCGGGACTTGAGACAGTTAACCGTCTTGGATGTGACAACGCTTTCTGGCAGATCATTCCACAAGTCAACCACACGCAGGCTGAACAAGTTGCGGCGGATAGCCAGTCTTGAGTACTGTTTCTTCAACTTGAGGCAATGTCCACAAGTCCTGGTGTTATAATCTCGTTGTAGTGGGCATGATGTTTTGTAGATGTTGTGGAGATATTTGAAAACTTCGATGATATCTCCCCTCGCCCTTCTATAATACATACTCGGGATCTTAAGACTTTGCAGTCGTTCTTGATATGGTAGGTCCTTTAGTTCTGGAACCAGCTTCGTTGCCCTTCTCTGTATTTTCTCGATGAGCTCAGCATCCTTTTTGTACATGGGGGACCAAGCGACATTCCCATACACGAGGAGTGGCCGTACAAGAGAGATGTATAAACTACGTACTACGTCAGAGTCCAAATAAGTGTATGATCTGCGGATCATTGCTAGGATACCATTCGCTTTGTTACTTGCCCGACGGATATGGTCACTAAATGTCAGGGTATTATCAACATTCACACCAAGGTCCTTTTCATTCTGAGTCTCGGATAGGTTTATAGAGTTTGAATTATCACCCATATTATACTCATATTTTGGGTTCTGAAAACCTAAGTGCATTACTTTGCACTTTGCTGCATTGAATTTGAGCTGTCAACACTCGGACCACCTCAGCATTTCCCTGAGATCTGACTGGAGTTTTTCTGCATCCTCTTTACACTTAATTACCTTGAAGACTTTAGTATCATCTGCAAACATCTGGACCATGGAGCTCACATTATCGGGTAGGTCGTTGATATAGACGACAAACAGTGCAGGACCCAGGACACTCCCTTGTGGAATTCCACTGAGAACTGGGCACCATCCAGATGGTTTCCCGTTAACAAAGACTCTCTGTCGCCTGTTTTTGAGAAAGTCTGAGATCCAGGTGAGTATGTCTCCACGGATACCATACCCGTAGAGCTTCTTCAGTAATCTTTTGTGAGGTACAGTATCAAATGCTTTCTGGAAATCCAAATAAATGGCATCGAGACTTCCTCTTTCGTCAAGGGTACGAGACCATATGTCAAGGCAGGCCAGGAGCTGGGTTGAACAGGATCTGCCCTGGACGAAGCCGTGTTGGCGGTCTGATAATAGGTTATTATCATGACGACATTACTCAAATGTGGGCTGGCTTTAAACCCACGGCACTATCAGAAACGTCGCTATCAGAAACGTCGCTATCAGAAACATTGCACGACGTGTTTTGGAAGTATTATTGTCTGTGTTTACACTAGCAAGCATCTCTAACACTCAGAGCTAACCTATACTGGAGAGAGTACATGTATGTGTAAGCAGGATATTAAAAAAGGAACTCACCTTGTAGTAAACCCACAAGAAAAAAAGAATTTGAGCTCCATACTGTTTCAGAAATAATCTGAGTGGTTTGGAACATGATATAGCGTTTAATCAAGGCAGCATTTAGCTGTATCTGCCGGTAGAAATCTCTCTCTTCCCTGTGCAGCTCACAGCTTGCCTGCGTGCTCAAAAGGGGGCGGGGCCAACAGCTACTGACCCAGAATCAGCACTTCTCTAACAGGGCTGAAATAGAGGGATATGAGGGATGTCTAAAAAGCATGATCTGTTTGGTATTTTGAGCAAAATCATCATAGACATGTTTTTTATATATTTTTATATACCTGAGACCCATAATATATGCCTAAAAATAGCATGATAGGAGATCTTAAGTTACTTTCCACCACTGCTCAGGGGGGGAATTGATGTCTACCATTTGGAGGGTCAATGGTCCGATCATCATCCCTAGAAACGTGTTGGAAATGCAAGATACCCCAAAATTGCTCCTGCAGTAGACGACATGTAACAACATGTTAACCGATTTGATCCAGAAAGTGCACTCTCTGGTCACCCTTGAATGCAGTGCTGCTGTGTGTGTTTCAGGCGGGTGGAGTGTGTGGGGGCAGTGGAGACGGTGCAGCAGCGAGTGCGGAGGCGGGATTCAAACCCGGGCTCGGACCTGTCAGTCACCGGCAGAGGAGTCGTACCTGTGTGAGGGGGTGCTGGAGGAGGGCCGTCCCTGCAACGCTCAGCCCTGCAGCGGTGAGACCCCCATCCTGTGTGTGTGTGTGTGTGTGTGTGTGTGTGTGTGTGTGTGTGTGTGTATGTGTGTGTTGTGTGTGTGTGTGTGTGTGTGTGTGTGTGTGTGTGTGTGTGTGTGTGTGTGTGTGTGTGTGTGTGTTCATGTTTCTACACATCCATGTCTGCAAGATGTATTTACTCTATGTGGTTAATTATGAGCACCAGGTGTGTACAAATTGTGTGTTTACAGCTTTATTTTAATATAGTTTTTTTACATCTTGTTCATCCCCTTGTGTACCCGTCCTCTATAAGTCAGCGTGTTGACTTAAGGAGTGCATGTTGGAAAGGGGACTTTGATCGATGAAAATAATTAGGGCATGGTCAACCGTTTTAAAGACCATGCATGTGTAGTGAACATCATTACACTCACAAATGAATGAAAGGACACAGGATATCAAACATCTGAGCACAATTATGTAAAAGCTATTCACCAGGAAGCATTAGAGCTTTTACTCAATTGTTCTCCTGCTTCCTTCATTTGTACAGGACTAGCATTTCGTTTTTGTCTGACAAATAGCTCCAACAGCATTATCGTAGATGTGTTATGTGTTTTTTTTCCAGTTAGTCATGCCATCAGAGGCATTCAAGACTCACATGAACATAATTATACAACAGCTGAAAACATAAAGCACTGCACACATTTACAGCACACTGACACCGACAGCACAAAAAAAAGTCCCAAGTTTGGCTGATGCTGTTCTGGGTGACCATCACGTCACGGTTGTGTCCCAATTATAAGACGTTAATGACGGACCACTGGTTGCTAACCCCCGCCCCCTCCTCCCCCGGCCTTGCCTCACCCTCTTTAGGCAAAGGCCTCCATCTCTCTCGCAGCCAATCGCTTCGCTCGGTGGACAGCCGCAAGCGTGATGACGTAGACAAGCCCCGCGGCGGACAGCAGAGCCCTCAGACAGGTAAGACAACGGGACGCAGAGGGAACCCATGCATCAGTCACTGTGGCAGCTTGGGTGACCAGCACATCTGTACACTTTACACACCATGACCACAAACAACACACTTTTAATCTACACATCTATCAAAATCTCCCAAAGCAGTGCCTCGTCCGCAGTGGACTAATTCCAACATGGACCCTGACTGAACATAGTGAAATGGTATTTTATGTGGGTCATAACAGGACACTGTGCTCTGTCTGTAAAACACTACACCGAGTCTCTGCTAAAGTGATACTCCACCCAAAAACAGGAGAAGCAAGCACTCAATAGTAGGCTGAAGGAACCGATTAGGAACCCCTCAAAATGAGATACAAGTCTCCTGTCTGGTGTATTTGGAGCTAGTTGTTTAGCCTAGCTTAGCATGATGGCATGGCAGCTTCACTGTGATGTCAAAATAAATAGTTACACACATAACTCCCCTAAACCATAATACATAAGTGAACTTTATTGGTAAAAGCTGTTGCTTTTTTAACTTTGAAAAAGCAATGCAAGCTGTGTGCCTCTTTATGCTTATCGAGCTAGTTCATTAGCCTCTTGGCTTTATCTCCGAACTTAATGAACAGACAAGAGACTGGTATCAATCTTTTTAAAATGTGAAACATTACTAAGCGGATAGTTAACATGGATAAATATCTAACAAAGAAGATGGATGACGAAAGTGGACCATGATGCAGGGTTGGCTGCAATGGATTATTTGATCTGCACCAACCACAAAAGTCACTGTTGGATACCACCGTTACTGATATGAATCCAAGCAGAATTAACGTAAAGACCTTTCAAGCCTAAAGGGTTTGCAGTTTTGACACACAGAGCATTTGTGTGAAGTATCACTTTACCTAGCTAATCGATTCACCTCTTCCTGTTTAGTTCTCTTCTCCCTGCTTCCCAAGCTTTAACTGCCAAATTCTTCCCTATTGGTGAATGTACCTATTACATTGGCAGTCATGGCCATTGAAAAGATGACTGACATATCCTAAGCCAGTGGCATTAACTTCCACTGGAAGTTAATGCAGAGGATATGAAATCAGAGCCCCACAGTTGAAGAAGAACAAGCAGAACAAAAGCTGGGGTACATTTCAGGGGTCGCCTCCTTTTGAAGGATGTCGTTTACGAATTGACACAGAACATTAGATGGTTTGGACCTGCAGCTCAGTTCCTATGGAGCAGGTCTACAAAGGATTTAAGCCCTCTGGCAAGTTCCTATCATTGTCTTTTAAAGTATGCGATGAGCAATCAAGGCTACAAGCTGCATGTAGAGGAACCATTGGTGGGTGAGCCTCCTCCACCTGTCGCCTCAGAAGGAGGCAACCCTTCAAATGTGCCTCAGCTGGAATCTACCCTCACACCACAACCCTTCCTGTTTTGGCCACAGAGGCTGCATCCCGCATGATAATTAGTTATGGCCCTTTCCTTTTCCTCTTTCTTCTCCTTTTATCCTCCTATCCTTTACCCACCCCCCCCCCTCCTCAGTAGACTCAGCTTCAGGTGAGGAGTGGTCAGCGTGGAGTGTGTGTTCTGCCACTTGTGGGGAGGGCTGGCAGAGTCGCACTCGTCTCTGTGTGTACGGCTCCTACAGCACCCAGTGCAGTGGGAAACTGCGCGAGCAGAGAGCCTGCAACAACTCTGCTGTTTGTCCAGGTAAGCCCCCCTCCCCCCCTCCACAAACCCTTCCCTCCACTTCCACCTCCCTGCGCTCGCCAAGCCCTCTCCTGGACCCTGCCTCACCCATACAAGACCCTCCTGACTCACCTCCTCAGGCACTTAACAGATCTGTCGCCCCTGGGTTTATTTGTCCCCTCACTTTGCCTGCAGTTAGGAAGGACCCTCACTATTACAGCAGATATTCCACAGTGCTCTCAGGCTCTCGTACATGCAGACAGGCAGGGAGACTCCTCAACTTAGAAAGCAATATCATCCCAATCACCGGCTAAACAGCAGTCATGTATCTGAGTCAGGTTGACAGTTGAGTTCTCTTGTTGTGGTGTGTTCAGGGGGTCTGTGTATGTGCCTGTCTATAAATCATACCCTAGCTGCTCTGATTGCAGTGCACGGCGCTTGGGACGAGTGGTCGCCGTGGAGTTTGTGTTCATCGACCTGTGGCCGAGGTTACAGGTCGCGAACACGAACCTGCGCCCCCCCACAGTTTGGGGGGGATGTCTGTGATGGCCCAGAGAAACAGACCAAGTTCTGCAACATAGCTGTCTGTCCAGGTGAGGAGCACATTCAAGCATTATCTATTTCAAATCGTGCATCATTGGAATAAAATGTAACCTTACCGCATGCAACCTTTACAAGGCTACTTGGGCCTTTTTGTTAATAAATGAGTTAGTAAATTGATTACATTCTGTCCCCCTATAATGGCAGGATTCTTACCTTTCTTTCAAGTGTGACTATTTGGAAAAGTGATCAACACGTTTGCCTATTAAAGCTGCTCCATGTCACTGCAGCATGTAACCATATTAAAACAGGACAGTATGTAATGTGAACCAGCTCATGCATATCTGTAGATCAGAGCTGTCAAACATACACCCTGCAGGGTGACCTTACAAAGTGTAAAGATTTCAGAGAAGACATGGACTGCAACTTTCACAACTTTTATGTATTTTGTATTTATACATTTACAAGGCAGGGGGATAACTTGACCTTCTGCCTTAATAGTTCCCACTTTAGTTTGTATGGTGCTTGTATACAGTTCAGGTGGACAAGATGACTACACAGATGTGGAAATGAATGTTAAATGTAGTTGTTTTGATCATTAAGTAAAATACTATATGGTTCAGTTCAAGATCCGATGACTAAATGTCTTGAAATTACACTTATTTTTCTTAAGAAATGTCAGGTTGTTCATAATGTTTTACAAAAAGATTAAATGTAGACATTTTCAGAATGTACTTGTATGCACTAAAACAAAGGGAACAATTTAAAGTTGTCATTAAAGGGTTATTATGCTTTGATTCGATTGGTCAACACCCCTGCCTTACATATAACAAAAGCACAAAGAATAAAAGAAAAGATGGTATGTCTAAGTACACATTGTTTACAGTGAACCCTATGTGGAGATGGAAAACTGCAACTCTATTTATTACATTTTTGGGATTTTTATATAATCAATAATGCACCAAATGCATGTATTTTCCGTGTTCTCTTCCCTGCGACCCTGCTGCTGACCTGGTGCCCGCTCCCAGTGGATGGAGTGTGGAACGAGTGGTCCAACTGGAGCTCGTGCTCCGCCTCCTGCTCCAACGGGACCACTCAGAGGACCCGGGAGTGTAACGGCCCCTCGTACGGGGGCTCCGAGTGCAGAGGGGAGTGGCTGGAGACCGTTGACTGCTTCCTTGGGGAGTGCCCGGGTATGAAAGAGACAAAGCCAGAGCTAAATATTTACTGTGCTCCAATAATGTGTTCCTTGCTCTTTCACTACTAGCTGTTGTATATAAATGACATATTTAATCAAACATGCATTTACTTCATTGTTACACACAGAAGGTACTTTCTGTTTCTATTGTGTTCTATTGCTTTTCAGTTCGATATTGAATCATTTGTTGTGAAAGCCTACATAATCAAACTCTTTTGAACACACATTGGCTCCTCGGGTTGGTCTTAGCAGTGCTTCATGGTTTCACGTGGCTTTAAAGGACCATGCATTGTTTCTGCATGTGTTATCCAGTGTGGTCGGAACATTGTAAGAATGTGAGAAGTCGTTAACAAAAGAAAAAGTCTGACATTTCTTTATTAACATAAAAAGAGGGGGAATCAGACATACAATAAACCAGATTCATTGATTCAGCTACCAGAGGACTTGCATTGCCTAGACTTTTGCTTTCTAGTTTCCTCCCAGCTACCAACAGTTTCCATTCATTGCAGATTGCTATAAATGATCAATGAGTAAGTGAGTTTAAAATCTCAGCTAACTAATAAATGATCTTCGTGAATAAATGCAAAAATACCAACACACTACCATTTTGAAAAATGTTCTACAGTATTGTAAATATCTAAACACACTGGGTTTAATTGTGGCTGATGAAGTCCTGTCTAACAGTCTGTGTGTTTCTGTTTGTGTCAGTGGATGGCAAGTGGCAGCCGTGGTCTTTGTGGTCGGGCTGCTCTAAAACCTGTGGTGGGGGGAGCCAGCAGAGAAACAGGATTTGTTATGGGCCCTTTTTTGAAGGGCAATCTTGTCCCGGAGAACGGGAAGAGGTCCGGCACTGTAATGAGAAGAGATGCCCAGGTGAGTGGACAAACATAGGTTGCTTTGTCAGCAGTATTTCATCAGGACTGGAAACCTGAGGTCATATTTCATAACATATACATACTCATTTACTGTCCTTTTGGGAACAGAACCTCATGAAATATGTGGCGAGGACAACTTCTCCAACGTTGTATGGAAGATGACTCCAGCTGGGGATACAACGGCAGTACGCTGCCCCCCCAATGCCATGGGTGAGCTCACACCTCACCATCAATGATACACCAAAGTCCACCTGGAGTTCTTTGAGTTGGATCAGAAACATATCTTGCTGATATAAATGCATGTGTCCTCACACAGGGCTGATCCTGCGCCGCTGCTCCCTGGACGAAGAGGGCGTCGCCTACTGGGAGAATCCCACCTACATGAAATGTATATCCAATGACTATCGCAGCATACAAACTTTGGTGAGCTGCTACAACATTTTTGTTTACAGTCTTGGTAGCCTTAGAGCTAAATTACCATATAAAGACAATAATTCAAATCAGGGCACAAAGGTACGGCGGCAGACAGATGCAAACTCGCAACAACAGCCCAAAACACTTCCATAAGGAAGCTGCAGCTTCAGAAACAATGCAAATATAAAACACAACTGTGCCAAAACACATGCAAATGAAGAAATGTCTTCACCAACTTGAAAACACTTACGCAGCCTGAAAGTTAAAAAAAAGTCTCTCCTAATGGAAGTGTTTCGGGCCGTTGTAGGTGTTTATTCCTTACTGTTAAAACTAACAGAACCCACTGTCTCTGTTAGACCCGGGAACATTTGTCAAAAGCACAGCGTGGCCTTGTGGGAGATGGAGTCTCCGAGGTGATGACCAAGCTGAGGGTGACCTCCAGTGATGGGACCAGCTACAGCGGAGACCTGCTGGCCATCGTGGACGTGCTGAAGAACATGACGGAGATCTTCAGGAGGGCGTACTACAGCCCCAGCAGCACAGACATGAGGGTGAGGAGATGCTGTTTGGGTTTACTGCTAGTGGACCGCTGTCTATACACTTGTGTGAGGGTGTTTTCTACCCTAGAATAAACCAGTAGAGGTTACAGATGATATTATGCTGTTTGGAGTTCTCCCTCTCCTGTAGTGTCTTCTACGTATATGTTGTGATGCAGAGGCTAACATCCCAGTGTTCCCTCCAGAGGGAGTTTCTCTCCCACACACTGCCAGAAACACCTGCATTGGACTCCTTTGTTTACTTCCATAGCATAGTGACATCACTTTGTAACATTCGCGCTTCTGTTGGCAAGCACTCCAACACATTGTATGTGATAGGCTAAGGGGCGGGACCCTCTAAGCCAGGAGTGTCAAACTCAAATGCGAAATGTTGTCATGAGCCCCCCCCCGGTTCGTACACGTAACTCTCTCTTCTTGAGTCTAGAATAGAAAGATAACAATGTCATATGTTTTTTTAAATACTTTTTTGCAGAACTTTGTGCAGTCAGTCAGCAATCTGTTGATGGAAGAGAACCGGGATAGATGGGAAGAAGCACAACTGGTGAGCATCCCCCTCTCTTTCTATAACTGGATTTACATCATCACACATTCTGTAATTAGTGTCTTTAGTAGAACTAAGGGTAAAGTAATGACAACAACCCTTCTGCTGTACAACTGATGGGTTAGACAGTGTTACAAAGACACAGGTGGACCAGCAGCCCACCTGTCAGGAGAGTGACAGGCAGAGGAGGACTGCTGAGGGACAGAAATATCTGCAGCTAATGAGTAACCGAGTCACCGCTAACACCCACTCCTCCATCTGCTGCACTCATCCACTTGTGCCTCACTATCTGTGCCTCCCTTCAGCCGTCCAGCTGTCCGTGCTTCTCTCGCCATGCACACACCAGAAGAATGCCAAACAAACCAACTCCAGAATGAGTGTATTCAAATGCAAATATCAAGCATTGTGCAGAAAGAGTTTGTTATTCCCCTGTGAGAGGATAATATGAAGAGGCACATTTTTATAATATCCACTAACTGTGTGGCTCTTACCTTACTGTAATATATTTTCTTTGTTAACATTAACAAAATACATCTGATTTGGTATAAACACAACATCACTGCTCACCAGTCTAAAGTGTGGATGTAATATTTCATATTTCTGAATCTGTGTGTCCCTGCTTTAAGGCCGAAACAGTTGTTTTTGTACTTCTCATGGGTAGATAATGAATACCTTGCAGTGACTTTAAAGTTCATCCTATCTCAAAGCCAAAACTTCTCCTGAGACCGTTATCAGGGCTAAAGAAGGATTACCAGCAAGGTCAATCTGCCCCTGAGACCCCAGCCCCGCAGGGGGCAGGACCCCAGTTTACCATGTGGCAATAACGGAAAATGTGAAAATGAATTGACTTGCTTATATAATGGTCAAGCTATATTCATCAGGTTTCACTTCTCGGCAACTTGTTCAAAGTGAAATACATGGAGAAGGGAGGACAGCGCTTTATTAAACGGTCTATAAGGCAGCCAGAGATGATTATATTATACCAACAAACACACTTATAACTCAGAGTTGTACTACTATACATACATGTGATCAGCCAGACAAGAGATGATTTATGTGTTGTGTTGTCATTATTGGGAAAACATGGCGCTTGCAATACCATTAATTTATTTATTTATTTATTATCATGGCAAAAATAAATAAGATGGACACAAAGGAATTATTTGATAGAATAATACAATGACTATAATTAATGTACTTACCATTAAGTGTCAAGCTTTACCTAGTAATTTAAAAGAAGTACACAGTCATAACCAGTGTATATGCACCACATGAGATATGAATGTTTGCTGTGTGGAATTTGAGAAACGGTGGCCTGTAACTACAAAAAACGCTTCTTTATGAAATACTTTCTATTTCAAATGCTTCAACAGCAGTTTACATTTGTATGAATACAGTTTGTTTATTAACCTGAAATCCATAATCCTTTTTCTTATATTATTCTTTTGTGTGTGTGTCACTCAGCTGGGACCCAACATCAAAGAGCTGTTCCGTCTGGTGGAGGACTTTGTGGACGTCATCGGCCTGAGGATGAAAGACTTCCAAGACATGTATGAAGTCACCGATAACCTAGGTCAGCCTTATCTCCATCACAGCTATCTCTGCTCATCAAAAGAAACTCTTATCACAGCTCTGCTCTATTCTCTGATGATTGATCTCCATATCTACTGGAAATACATAGGAGGCAGGAAAAAGGGGGGGGGGGGTGACATTTCCTGTGCCCTCACTCAGAACTCCTTCATATCATCTATGTTTCTATTTGAGCTTGTCACAGATATACAAATGAAATACTGGTGTGTGTGTGTTGGCCAAAAGGTGAGAAGTATTACATAAATATAAATAAACATGAACATACATGTGATAAAGACATGTACTTTTGAAAGCTCACAGTTTGTCTGTCCATTAGATCATTAGAGAGGATGTCACACAGACACAAAAAAGGAAATTATAAATGAATATCTAGAAATGGTATTTGTATTATTTTGACTGCATACTGATCAAAAAACAATAATACAATATTGTTGAACTACATGAGTAATTTTATAAATATTTATATGGGATGAATTTGATTGAACAGATACTCTTCTCACTGCAATTGTCACGCATTGATTTGGCTTATTGGTCTTATTCATTTAGTTTTCTGTTGCTGCTTTTGATTTGATCTAAAGTTTATTTTGGTGCTTTCAATGCCAGACACAAAGAACACCATTGAAATGAAAGTGGTAAGGAGAACCAAAACAAGCTTTGGGTGACGTCCATAGCAACAGGCATTATTTGATGCCCCAGCTAAAATAAATGAATATTTCGTAACGTTTGATCAATGAACAGTTATTTCACTCATGATGTGATTGGTCACTCTGATGGAGCATCATTTCTATGATATTGGAGACGAGTAGTGGTGGTTCAGCCACGTTATGGATTTACAAGTACATCTTTTTTAATTCAGCTGCATATAGTCTGAATGGCTTATCAGCATTTCACTCAATCTGACTCCATTTGTTGAACTAGTTAAAAAAAGTGAGCCAAGATCCTTATCTACAGTAGCACCTTTTCAATGTGACGCCTTTTCAAGTGAAACCTTCACACACACACTGTTACTGCATTGTGAGTCTCTAGCAGGGGTGCCCAACCAGTCGATCGCGGGTAGATTCCCAGTCGATCGCGAGATGTGTCTAAAAATATTCTGTTTTATCGTTAATGTCCTATAACATAATCTTCCTGTGCCAGAATAATGCACTTGAACGCATTAAAGCTTTGTGATTGGCCGGCGTGACCCCATGGTTCGGGGCGTGGCTGGTGGGCATTGGGCACTAGTTCGCTGAAGTTGTCCGTGTCAACAGGAGTGACAGTCCGCACACACACAAGACCGCAATTATGGCAGAAGCAAAAAAGCCCAAAATATATCATTTTCACTCCGAGTGGGAGGATGATTATGTTTGTATCTATTCCAATTCAAAGTCCATCCGTCTCATCTGCAATGCGAGCGTGGCTTTATCGAAGAAGGGTAATTTAGGAGCGGCATTTCAAAACAGTGCACAAACACTACGAGACGGAATTCCCTCCTGATTCTGCCCTACGCTCCCAAAAGGTGAGGGACCTGAAAGGACAGCTAAATGCACAGCAGTCCATTTTCAACAGGCCCAACAACAAGAGCAAGGCTGCTACCATAGCATCTTATCGTGTCAGTCACGTTCTTGCCAAACACATGAAGTCTTTCAAAGATGGCGAAGTTGTGAAAGAAGCATTCCTGGAGGCTGCCGACGCGCTTTATGGGGACAGTAAAAATAACAGTAGCATTTCAACAGGTTTTTGATATAATAAAAACTCAAGTTAGATACCGTTATTAATCAGCTGTAAGTTTTAGTTTGTTTGAACTTATTCATTATAATTATTGTACAAAATGGTATAAGAATGCAAACTTAAATGTATTATAGTCTATTATCAATTCAGGTTAAGAAACTAGTATTGCTTGCATCCTATTTTAAAGGCATTTCTTTTTATACTCTACTAAAATGCAACAAAAAAAGGGTTTGATTCTATTAATTTTGACTTTTTTATTGCACTTTGGCAGCAGATTCCTGTGTAGCTTCAGATCTGAGTTGTCTTATTAGTAAGCCTAATTTATACTTTTGTAGCAACACTGTGTAGATTAGAAAGAGGTAAGATAAAGGATCTGCAGTATTTTATGAAGTATTAATCGTACAAAGGTCAGATCTCGGCAGACTGGCAACTTTAAAAGTAGCTCTCGGTTCAAAAAAGGTTGGGCTTTGATAGACTGTATACAGGGGCGGACTGGCCATCGGGACGTTCGGGACGAATCCCGATGGCCAGTACTGAAGTGGTCCGGTCGGACGAGGTGGGCCGGTCGGATAAGTCACTAGCACCCCCCCGTTGATAATTTACTTGCGGTACTTGCTGTACCGAGGTGGGCCGGCGGTACCGAAGTATATATGTATTTTAAATCTACAGCAGTATTTTTCCTCATCAGTTGCTGCCCCTGAGTTTTGTCCTTGTCCATTATATATAAATACAGTCAGATTCCACCACTTCATCATCCCTTAAAGTGGACCTATCATGCTATATTTAAATGATATATTGTAGGGCCATACCTATATAAGGTATATTTATACGTTTCTGTTTTCAAAATACCAAACAGATCATGCATTTTAGCCATGCCTCATTTCGCTCTATGTGCTGTTTGCTGTCTACGGGGCTGATTATGTGAGCTGCAGCTGACCACGCCCCCCTGCAGGAGAGGGAAGCCGTGCTCTGATCAAGTCAAGAGGGGGAGAAAAAAAGATCTCTGTTCTCCGTGTTTTATTATATAGAGTCGTTATTCATTTGTTTTAAAGCTCAATAAATAACAAAGAAGACCTTTGACCGGCACTTTTCTAATATTGTCCGGAAGATTTCAACTTTAACGGACATCTTGACCGGCGAAAGAAACTGAAACTGAAACTCTGCCGCACGGTCCCCTCGTTCCTTGGAAGAGGCGGAGAGGTGGGTGTTTGTCATCTGCTGGTGGACTAACCGGAGAGAATTACAGTGCTTGCCTCGACGGGGAGGGATTGCATTGAATTAAAGCAGCAGGAGCAAACGCTTGCCTCGGGGAGGGAGAAAAAAAGCCACAGCGGAGAATAAACAGAAGGGTAACCATGGTAACTATGGGCGGGAAGTCTTCTTCGCTGCTTTTGTGGCAGACTACAGCGCCACTTACAGGCCTGGCATATGTACTACAGCGTCTCCAGCGCTTTCGAGCGGCAATGGCCGGCCGTGGCCCAACCCCACATTCCCCTGATAGGTGGAGAGTTGGCCCAATAGCCGTAGCGCCACTTCTGTGACGTCATAGAAGTGTTCAAATCTGGATCAGTTTTTATCAGATCCGTTGCAGCCCCTTTTTTAGAGATTTGGGTATGGAGGAAAATAGAGAGGGTTGTGTTTTCTGACACTTGGTGAGTTCCCTGGAACACCGGGGACACATATTCATGTATACAAGACGTACAAAAGTGCATTTTGCATGATAGGTCCCCTTTAAGGAAAAGGTCTGGTAAATGATGAATTACTGGAGAACACTGAATAAAACATGTTTTAATACTATCGTATCCAGCCAGATGGCACGACTTCTATAGCATTCTATTTCTGTGGCTCAGTATCTACAACAAGAGAACAAACCCCGGTCAATATTATGATTCCCCAGGGCCGCAGGTCCAGCAGATCCACATTTATAACAACCTGCTGTCTGCTTCCATTGCCCACTCACTGTAAACGCTCTGTTTTCCTCAAATAGGGGGAAAACATAGTGCAGTCATCACAGAGGCTCCGCTGCTCCCTGTGACCTCCAGATAAAAAGGACTTTGAGTTGAGTCAGGGGAGAGTGTGTGGGAATTGGGGCCAGATGAGAGGTCCTGTTTGTAGCGGGGCCACCTCGCTGTCTGGAGCCCAGCAGCCGCCCACACCTGCAGCGGCCCCTCCCACTCCATGAGCAGAAACAAAGCGGCGCACATCGTCTGCCAACATGGAGTCAGATCAGCTTCCTCCTCAAACTCATCGAAGTAGTTAGGTTGTGTAAGACGAGGAGACTCATCAACTCCAACTCTGTCTGGGACTGATCTGGATCTACTTCTAACAACATATAATGATAGGATACTATAGTACAAGGATGCATAGTAGTTGCAGTTTTTAAATTAAATTAAAACGCATTTAGTTTGACTTCTCTTTGGTGATTTACTTTAATGATATGAACCAGAAAAGAACCAATCCTGTTTCTGTTGCTTTTCTGTTCGACATATGTAATATTCAAAGCTGGAATACAAACAGGGCAAACCATGGAGCTACCCAAAGCTCAAGGCTTTATGATGAATTCATTTAAAATAAGTTTTGGAGAATTATGCAGATTATAAACTGACATGATAAGAGCTTCAAGGTGAAGGCCTGTCTTTCTGACATTGTAATAGAAACACATCTCCCATCAAAGTAAATTGTACTATTTGGTATTTAGCTTTTATGTATAATTTATTTTGTAACAATGTTCCTTTTTACTTTACTTTGTTTTCCATATTCATCAGCATACAGGTCAGCTTTATATCTTGTTATGTTTTGCAGTGGCGAAGCGTGTCTATCACAACTGGACCTTCTGTAGACACAAACACACCCGCCGCCGCAAAACATCTGATTGGTTGCATTACTTTTCTAACACAAAACCACTGAAATGCGTAGTGCATGGACCGAGAAGGACAAACAGATCAACGTAACACTGTAATATTACAGATCAACAACACAGATACCATTCTCATTTAATCATTTTACATACATTTTATTTATATAATTAAATCGATCTTTTGTTTGTTTTATCTGAGTGTTCCAGGGTATTCTCTGAATACCTTGAAGGACCTGACGGTTCGCCACTGATGTTTTGTCATTTTATATAGCTGACATTTTTATCCAAAGCAACTAACATGCACTGAAATACTGTAGACGTGCCAACAGGAGCTATTTGGGGTTGCCCAACAAAACTTCAAGTGCAGGGGCGGATCAAACCACTGACCCTCTGATTGGTAGAGGAGACAGCCATTCACCCCTGAGCTACAGCTGCCTGAGTGCAAATCCATGATAACTAACAGCTTGCACGTTTTTATGTTACAGTTTTGAGCGTCCACAAGCGCCCGGTGGTGGGTCAGGCCGACATCAGCTTCCCGATGAAGGGCTGGAGGGGCATGGTTGACTGGGCCCGCAGCTCTGAGGACAGAGTGATCATCCCCAAGAACATCCTGTCCACCGGCAAGCCAGGTGAGAGACGTCAATCTGCATCCCACTGAGACATAACCAGTGGCCTTTTCTCCTGGAGGCCAAGGGAAGCCAGGCTTCCCCTGTTTTTTCGGACTGTAGTTATCATTTTAATAAATGAAAAAAACACTTTGTTTAGTGTTGGTAATTCTTCTGTGCTGTGTGTTGCTGCCATCTCTCCCCCATTCTCATTGAGTATTTTACAAAGAGTGAAACAGCGCCCCTCTAGATGTTATGGTGAAACAGTATATTGCACTCACTGTAAACTAATGTCATGGTCGAGAGGAGGCCAGCCGAAATTGGCATCCCTTGGTGAAAAGAAATGGAGGGATTGACCAATCAGATGAGGCTACCGTCATGCCCCTGCCAACCTGTGATTAGTCAGGGCCATGCCAAGGGAAGCCAGGGGCGGGTGGCTTCCCTTGGCATGGCCCTGACTAATCACTCGAATCAAATCGCATCAACTTCGTACTGTCATCACCGCCGTTAGCAAGTAGCAGCATTAGCAAGTGCAGTTATGGAGGGTGGAGATTTAGAGTATTTAGTAAAACATAATTTTACTAAACTTTCGCTACTTTTTTACTTTTGGGCTAAGGACTGAGCTAATTACAGAGACGAGGACTGCTGCTGCACTTGCCGTGTGTTAGAGAGGGAAGAGAAGGTGGACTATCGCATGCAATGTTTCTGCACATAACTGTTTTTGAAGTCATGTGTTCCATACACGTAGCCTACTGATACTTTGATGTGAACGTAAAACTTTAAAGGTCTCCTGATTTAGTTTATGAATGAATGCTTATTTGTTATTCATTACCAAATCTGCACTGCGCATTAAGCGGCTGGTTATGCATTTGGGTGGGGGGTTAGCTGCATACATTAATAAGAAAATGCATACATGAATAAGACGAGAGAGTTTCTGCGGACCTGTCGGTTAGATAACAGCTGTGTGCAAGTCCTGCATCTGTATGATACACATTTGTGTAAAATGATACCGGGCGCTGTAATAACTCATCTGGTTACGTTTGACCCCCCCCCAAAAAAGGGACATCGATTATTGGCTTCCTCAAATGTTTTCCCCACGCCACGCTACTGGACATAACATACTGAAGTAACAGAGTGTTTGACAAGAAATTAGTATTTTTGATCATTAATAAATGTGTCTTCTGAGAGCAAAACATTCCCACCTAAATATATTGGTGCAGGGAGGACGTGGGCAGACTGGGAAGATGGAAACATCCCATTGCTCGCAAAAGCAATGGGATGTTTCCATTGGTTTTCGATACATTGCAGAAAAAAAGCTCAGTGGAAAACACACCTTTATAATACTTGCACATTTTGTTCCGCAGGATAATTTCCACATATTAACAACATTTTAATGGTTTTTGAAGAGCACAGGCAATCACTAGAAGTAAAAAGCTAACGATTGAGTATAAACAAACTACATCACGGTCACATGACTGTGCATCTCCACCGCTAAGCTAAAGGGGGCTAATGTCTGGAGGGATGATTCAACAAGGGAACCTGATTTTGTAAAATGCTAAATCCTTCCTACACCACTATACTGCAGCCCTATCTGTTTCAACGTGCTTCAATGTGTGTTTGACTTGATGTGTGTGTACGTACGTGCTCGGTGCATTCGTTTTAGAGGAGCTGTCTAGAGGAAAAGAGCAGGCATAGGGAACAGCAGTTGATTTATGAAAGAGTGGTAACTGACATTAAATTGTAAAGAAGAGCGCCTCGCTCACACGTTTCAACCAGAGCTGGTTGTATTTAATGTTGAAAATAAAACATGCAGGAGAATAAACATTTCATTTTTCATCCCCCACTGTTCAGCAGCTGGACAACAACATTCCTTGTTGTATTCAATAAAGCCAGTTAGTTTCATACAATGTTAATACAAAGCCCATCTGCCTAATCATTTGATGGTGTTGAATTGCAAACAGGAGCATTGCATACTACTTTTTGCTTAAAGAAGAGGGAATAATAGGACTCTGTGGAAAAACTGAGAATACAACAACATAAAATGTGTATCTAAAAATGTTGAAAATGAAATATTGCTACCTTCCATTTAATGTCATTGTAAATGGAATTGATTTGGTCTCTGGAAACAACTGCTAGGCATTCAACATCTGTTGACACTAGAGACTAAATGTATTATTGAATCAATAAAATATGTATTAATACAATACAGAAATCCTTAGCTGCTGCCTTCAGCCTTACACAGGAGCTTACTGACCTACCCTTGGTAATTATTGCTCATAATCTGAGACAAACATGTATCAAATATGTCACAGAACAGGGTTTTGTGCTGAATTATATTTGATAAGGGTTCCATGCATGTGTACACTTAGTGTTCCCTTTATAAAGTATGCCTCTTGAGTCAAATGCAATCAACGCTTTTGTCATAAAGCAGACTCTCATGTTTTCTGTAACGTTAGTTTTCGACCCTGTCATAGAGGTATTAATAAAAGCATATTTGAGCACTGAGGTCAAAGTCAGAGTCTTGGTGGACTGCTTCATGCTGAGAGGCGCTTCTAAAAGTCTGCCATGCTCATATTGTACATAAATATTGAAATGATGGCTAATAAAGTGAAAATAGACTTACTCACATACATTACAGTTGGTGGTATCTAGTCAAGTACGAGGCCCTATTATGCCTATTGGGGTTTTCCCTTTCCTGTAGTGTGTCGTTTTTTGGTGCATGTAAATTGTCTGCAAAGGCTAAAATTCCTATGTTCCCTCCAGAGGGAGTTTCGACATGTTGAATCGGTGGGCAGTCGGCCAAAGGCTGTCGGCAAAATAAATCACTCTGATTGGCTGTTCAGCTTAGCGAATCAGTGCATGAGAAGCGAAACGGAAGTGAGGGACCCAAACAAACTATTAATTCATTTACCTCCAGCTCTCGACACAGGTTCTGGAAAGCCCCATGAGCTTCTCACTGTAGAGTGAAAATGGAACACGCACTTTATTGTTGTTTGTTTATATCACGCAGTCTGTTCTTCTTCTCTCGGTTATCACGCAGTCTGTCTTCCGCTTGTTGCCTCTTTTGAATGACGAATACACACTACCGCCGCCTGCTGGTAAGGAGAGTTATTGCCACTCACGCATGCGCAGTTCGTACGTGCTTCTTGGCCGTCGGCTGAAGTCTTTGCGGTGTGTTCCAGTGCGACACATGGCCAAGACGCAGAGACGTGAGGCGACACAACAGTCGGGGGTCCGTCTGTGTCAGTTCTTTGGTGTCAGCTTGGTGTGTCCGGGCCTATAGGCTAAGGGGCGGAACATCTCTAAGCGGTTGACCAATCACAACAGAGCCGGCCAGCTAGCCAATCAGAGCAGACTGGGCTTTGGTTTCAGACAGAGGGTGAAAAGAGGTGCTGCAGCAGTATGAGAACATTAAAGCATGGAGATACTGATATGAACCTGAAATAATAGAGCCCTTTTAAGTAAAGACTTCTTTCTCTGAGACAATTTTAAGAGACCTAACAGCAATTTGCCTCGAACACCCTTAATTGGACTGCGTTTAACCAAGAATACTTCCTTATTAAATATATCTGGCATGCTGACTCAGCGACGATCAGTGGCAACACGTTAACCAAGCCAGCAGCTCGGGGATCCCAAGACCTTTTCTAGTCCAGATTGATACATATACAGTGTAATCTTGTCAGAGCGTTCTGGGTCTGCACCCAGTTCTACTCGCAGGTGGGGGTGCAGAACACCTCCACTGTGAGGGGAGCAAGAGGCCTCCTTATCAGATGACTGAAAGTGAAAGAAACTCATTTTAGCTGCTTGTATCCTCAGTGGAGTTTCAATTACTTCCTGAACAGGTGATGGTTGGAATATAAATAAATAGGTCAATCCAGAGCTTTATCTCCAGGCTCCACTGTGTTTTCATCACAACACACCAATCTGCCTGTTGCAGGTGACTTCTTCAAATGTGTTTTTGTTCCATTGCTTGAGCACCGCAATCAAAGCTTCATTCACAATCATTTGTATTGGAGTAATGGAAGACATTTCTCAGTGAAAGAAAATAGTTTGATATTGAACTATTAGTGTTTATGTTGGCTTACCTTTGACCAAAGTTGCCATGCATCAGTACTGTATTACAACTGATTGCAGACCGCCGGTAAAACGTATTTTAATTCCATGTAATCTGGAGTTTTATAGCATCAATCAATATCAATATTAATGTTGTGGAATTTTGTGGTGGCAATATTGCTTTATGAGTTGTAACACATTATGAAGGGCAGCAGCAGCAGCTAGTCTCCTCTCTATGCAGGTGCTGCCGTTTCTGTCCATGAGCTGTTAGCGTGGGTCCGTATCATAAGAGAATTGTGTCATGGTGGTATTCAGTAACAAAGTACATTTACTTAATTTACTTGTACTTTACTTGAATAGTTCCATGTACGGTATACTTCTACTCCACTACATTTCAGAGATTAATATTGTACTTTTTACTCCATTACATGTATTTGATAGCTTCCATTGCGCTGCATCAATCATATGAAATATAAAACACATTTACAGTAATGCATTTAGTCATACAGTGGGTACATTCACCAGCTATCAATCTGTCTAATACTTGAATTAGCTCTACCTGTGCCAGCTGCATGAAACACAATAATGCATCAGTAATTATACTCAAAACATATAATGGATATATATTATTCTGGAATTGGCAAATCTGCATAACGAGTACTTTTACTTGATGTAGTTGAAGCTAATACTTTTTTACTTTTGCTTAATTAACATTAAGAATGCAGGATTTATACTTGTAACAGTCATTTTACTCTTTGTGTTTCTACCTTTCCTTAAGTACAAGACCTAAGTACATCTTCACCCTTGTGTTTTATCGCTCGATAAATAACCCCATGCCAAAACACTTTTCAAAAAAGAAAAGCATTGTAGCTCAAACGAATGGTCCTCTTATTATTGACTGGTGGCTTTATTTTCAGTAGCCGGACGGGTTATTTATCAGTCGGGACATTTACGACCATAAAAGACAGCCCTGTACTGCTAGTATGCTAATGAGGCCGTCACTCCTAATCAGGAGTCAACAGGAGCCAATCAGGAGCAATTAGAGACCATTTCCACCCCAGCTGGGGGAGCGTCTCCACGGTGACTCCAGCAGCCAGCCTCTTTATGCACACAGCTTGGACGTGCTTACATGGATCCAAGCAGCACTGTGACGCCTTGTTCACACTGATGCATGGTTCCCTTCTCACATCCCAAGAGCATTCTTTAGAGAAAAGAGAGAAATGTGTTTATTGAATGTTTCAGTGTTTGGGGGGTATACAGGACAAATGGGATGTGCCTTCTCTTTACAGTGTGCAACAACAATGACCTACATTCAATCATCTCTATTTGTTATTGCAGTGTTTTTATTTAAAGTGCAAAATAAAAACTGTGTCTATAACTTTTAAACAGAGAAAAACCAACATCTTGTCATTCTGTATTAGCTGCAGAGCATTTGCTATGAGGCACTTTAGGAACAATGCAGTTTAACACACAATCAATCATTCAAACTGTGACCCCAACCGTGACAATACATCTGTCTCCCTGTGTGGTGTTTATATATTATTTAAATGTACTGCAACAGGTAAGACTTACCTCCAAACTTCAATGATTGATGTTGTTTTTCTGCGTGGTCTCTCCACATGGATTTACTCACACACCAGTGGAGGCCTTAGTATTAAAGGGGCTGTGTGGAGTTATTTTGTAGGCAGACATAAGTTCAAATGTGTATTCAGTGTTCCTCACCGCAGTGTGCATCTTTTAAAGAGGACATGTCAGGCACAGAAACCTACAACACAACAGGAAAGGGAAAAGCTCCAAACGCATAATGGGGACTCTTTAAGTCTGAGAAATGTTTGGAATACATGTTGTTTTCCATTAAGCATTTGTAAAGCCAATTCTGTAAGCACTTTGTATGCAGCACTAATAACACGCATTTCGACTTTCTAGAAATGCACAAGGTTACACACTCGTAAAGAAAAGGGCTACTACATAGTGCAACTAGCAAAAACTCTGCTTGAACCTTTAAGAGGGTAACAGTTCAACTGTGAGACACTTGGCATTCTCCTAAATAAGCCCCTCGTTTCCAAAGATGCTGATGTCATGTGCTGTTCCTTCTAAGTGCATAACGATATAATAAAATGTACAAATGCGATGGTACAAGTTAAATGAATTTAGAGACAAAGTAAAATATTCATCTGTATTTTTAGTTTTAAACTTGACCAAAATTCAGTTGTTTTGTTAAAGCCTCCATTAGGAGGCAATGTGAGAAAACTACTGCAAAGTTCATGATGAAAATCCTATCTGACGGAGAAGTTAAATTTGTATGATGTTTACTCCGCTCTTGGCATGTGTGTTACTGTTAGGAGGTAATGGAGTATATTAGGTAAGCACAAGTGCACACTCGCTTTTAAAGGGTTTTCTAGTCCACTTCCTCTCACCACTAACTGGTTTAGGAGAGCCCCCAATACGGCACATTCTATCTGCAAAGTGAAGTGTGTTGAAGCAGCAATTTGACCAAGAGATATCATGTGTTTCAGACTTTATGCCTTGTCATGAAAATGAGCTTTTCCTACTCATAACATGTGTGAAGCCATGTGAGTAATGAAGCTTATTCATGACCACATGCATGAGCATATTCACACAGCATATGCAAACAAGTATCCATTCTCACATTGTGCAAATGCATATCGACAGACACTTGGCTAGGGACTGTTTCAGTTCTCCTACGCAGACATATAACTTATTGAATCACTGAGGAAAGTCCCTCCAGGCTTAGTGTTGTTGGGCACAGACAATCTGGCTGAGCATATTGGATAGGCCAGCCAAAGAGAGGATGAGCAGGACACATAACACTCCATCCTCCTCACACACACTAACACGTCTTGCTTGGTTCCCCCCTGATGCCCATGGGAGCTCAGCTGTTGCCTGGGAGCCTCTGCCTGGCACGCTGATCGCTCTCAGGCTGCCACAGTGTGCTGGAGCAGAAGAGCTGGATGTCTTCAGATGGCCCGGCAGATGGAGTTGTGTTTTTTTCGCCTTTGACACTGTACCCAGAAAGAGGAGGCATCTCCTTGCCCCGGGGCTGTGTGTGCCTTTACATAGTCCAGCAACTTTTGACACATTTCTTCCGATGCTGGCACTACTCTGTTGTCTTGCAGCAGAGGGAGCTCACCTGCAGGGGGCTGCAGCAACATGCAGAGCAGCCAATACATACTGTGAGAGTCCTGTAGATGTTTGGGGATTGTGAACGATCACTAGTCCAAAGAACTCCAAAATGAGACAATAGTGCATATGTTCTGAAGCCACTCAAGTGAGCCTGGCAGCCAGGCCATTGGATGATGTGAAGGGCCTGGGTATGCAAAATCATGGGAGTGCAAGTAAAGGTTGAGATCATTTATTTTATTTACCCAAATTATATAATATTTTTACGATTGGTTATAAAATGAACAAAGATTCTAGAGCCTAAGCATAACTAAACCGAGTTGAGTGCTCCTCGAACCGAGACACAATGATCTCCTCTCCAAATTGCAAGTTTTAAAGGTCACCTATTACGCAAAATCCACTTTGTCATGTCTTATACATAAACATGTGCAACAGGGCTGAAACAGAGGGGTGTATGGGATGCTGCAATGATCTGTTTGGTGTTTAGAGCCAAACACTTCAGAGACATGTTTTGTATATATCTGAGACCTGTAATATATTGATGCAAAACAGTATAATAGGGGACCTTTAATAACCATGCTGCCCAGTCAATAGTTGAGTACAGGGGAGATAAGCCCTTTCTTCATTAAAAGAAGGGGAGCTTGGGTGAAGTTGCTCTGTGAACTGAACACCCCTTGGGTTTCAGGAGAATGGCACGGTCCAATCAGACGCACATCTGCTGAGGCAGGTGTGATTCAGCAGCTCTGCTGCAGGACACTGAAAGAAATTGGGTTAACACTTTATATTTACTGGATCAAACAAGTTTGCGTGCAGTAAGATTAGTAAAATAAAGTGGGTTCCAGTTTGTGTGATGTTAAACAGAAACAAAAAACATAACCTTTAAGAGGTGTTGGTTGTGAGTTACAGCCTTTACAGAAGACCTGAAGGCAGTATGATGTAGACCCAATGCGCTGACTGAGTCAAGTCCAAACTGTCCCTTCTTTCACTTTTCTGGAAGGAAAATAAGTTGCTGTTTTTACTTTCTTAACAAAGTCTTTAGGGTTTTAAATAGATGCAGGCCATATCGACTTATGTACAGCATGTGCCAAATGAATAGATAACCAAAGTGGGCCAATACACTCTGATCTGAGATTAGCCATGCTAGTTACTGCCTGTTAGCAGGATTGTTGATGTGAAAGCACTATTGACAGAGTGGTCAGTACATTGAGAACACAGTCAGTCCATCCCTCTGTCTACTGCTGTTTCATTCACACTTCCATTGGAGTCAGCCCCAATCTACTCACACCAGACTCCTCTTGTGTGTAATGCTGTGTATGCCTGTCATTTTAACAATCATTTCACTTGCATTCTGTAACTTTATCAATATCCATCTTTACATAGGCTAACAGTAGAGATTTATGTTACTTTTACTACTGTTCAAATTACATTGGGTGTCTGAATGGTGGCTTTCACAGTTCCAAACAGTAGGATGGGTTGAATGCAGTAATACTGTTCTGTGTGCATGTGTGTCAATTAAAAGTAGATTTGATTCAAATCCCAAATCTGAACATCATTAGACATCATATAATGATGTGATAAACGATTGGATCGTTTTACTGTTATCTGGACTGGAAGCCCAGAGGAAAGTTCAAACATGTTGAGATAAGCACCTCTGTGTATCCACTCAGAGTGTCTTTACTCCACCGCTGGAGTTTAGTCCATTCTCCTTTGTTTTATTATTTGATTTATTCCCCAGTGTGAGCCCAGTGTCAGGCTCCGCTGCTACTATCTGTCACTACAGAGATTATTGAAATAATTTGTCAGTTGTATCTGTATATGTATATATGTATATGTATATGTACATATGTATGTATCTGTGTGTTTGTGTCAGGCTGTGAAGCTGTGGAAGTGTTCATAGCTGACTAGTCATGTAGGCCAGCTCCAGTGTCAGAGCTCTTGGTGGCTGGAGGAGTGGAGCAGCCTGGCTGAGCTTCTCCTCTGCAGCTGGCCTGTGAGCCAGCAGAGACTGAACCGGTTAGTCTTTCCAACACTCCTGAAACAACGACATTAACCTTCCTGCTCTGTGTGCTTTTTGTTTCTTCCCAAACAGAATCAGACGAGTCCTCCACGTTTGTAACCGGGATCGTTCTGTACAGAAACCTGGGCAGCATCCTGACTCTTCAGAGGTAAGACTGCTGACACTGAAAGATTAGACACTGTTGACTTATAGTTATTATTGTTAACCAGTCATGAAGCTTGATTCAGGGGATTTGGGGGGTGTATTCCGACATGGACACCAAGGAGCACAAATATAACCGAATGTATTTGACAGGTTTAGCGCACGAGAGCACTGGCCGCAGTACAAGGAATACCTAACAATGCAGGACACAAAGTATATATGTTTTATGTTCTAGGCTTGTTAGTCATTAGTGGTACAATAAAGGAAGGAACGCTATGTAAAACAACTTATTAACTAAAAGTCTACCTACTAACTTTCTTTTAAACTCTCCAACTAACTCAGCAGACCTTGAAGTTTTTTTAAATATCTCAACAACTTCTGGATGTATGCCATGACACTTTTGTACAAACACTCATGGTCCCCAGATGATGGATCATACTGACCTTGACCACTTCATTTTCTATTGCATCACCTTCTTGTTGGCATGATGGTTTAAGTGAAATTCTCTGAAAACTACAGATTCGTACAGACATTCCCTTTCCACTCAGGAAAGTTTTAATGTATGTAGTGATTCCAACATTTTTTTTACCTACAAAACAGACCAATCAACCCCAGCTGTTCTTTTGATTAACCTGTTAAACTAAAATAAACATAGTAAACATAATATTTGCTGAATCATGTTGGCATTATCATGTGTGTACGAAGTGTTTTAGCCCACACACCACTGTGCCCAGTCTGTCCTCACAGACCTGCCAGCATAGCTCGAGTCTCCCAGTCTTGCTTTCTGTTCCAAGACAATTAGACTTGATATGGCTTGGAGTTTAATATGGGTTTATATATTTGTGATCTTATTATGTGTATAATAATAATAATAATAATACATGAGACTTGTATAGCGCTTTTCAGGAAACTCAAAGACGCTTTGACAGAGAATTAAAAAAAACAACAACAAAACAAAACAAAGAAAAATACAAAAAGAGATAAACAAAACAGAAAATAGGGGGGGGGGGGGTCAGTGGTTGAATGCAGTGTTGAACAGGTGGGTTTTGAGTGATGTTTTGAATGCTGTGAGGGAGGAAGAATCTCTGATGGATTGGGGTAGTGAGTTCCAGAGGGTGGGTGCAGCAACGGAGAAGGCTCTGTCGCCCCAGGACTTGAGGTTGGTCCGGGTGGGGGGGGACAGGAGGTTGGCAGTAGCAGAGCGGAGGGAGCGAGTGGGAGTGTGTCTGTGGAGGAGGTCAGTCAGGTAGGATGGAGCCAGGTTATGGGGGGCTTTGTATGTCATCAGGAGGATTTTGTACTGGATTCTCTGGGGGATGGGGAGCCAGTGGAGCTTGATGAGGACGGGGGTAATGTGTTCACGGATTCGGTGTGGGTGAGTAGACGGGCGGCGGAGTTCTGGATGTATTGAAGTTTGTAGTATCAAACATCCCTATGAGTTATGCCGCTGAGAGGCTAAAACTTGCTCTTCGCTGTGACGCGTTCCATACAAGGGTCCGTACCGTAGAGTTCATGGTGTTTGATAAAGACACAAAACAAACAATGTCCAACTCCGGACCACACGGTCAATAGAAAGGAGCAATTCTCTTCTCCTCTTCATCATACACAAAGACGGCATCCCACAGGTGACCTACATACCAATAAACCACACCCATGTGACAATTGTCGGAAGTGATAACCATGAAGAATTAAACGTGCTGTAAATGGAAATGAAGATTATAATATAAATAATAAGCAATGGCAAAAGAAGCGTTTTGGCTCCTACAATGTGGTTGAAAACAGATAGGCAGTGAAAGGCTTGAGAGACAGGAAGAGAGATATATGGACGAACAGAGGGACAATAATATGTTGTATTTTCTGATCTGATGCCTCTATGAGCAGTACAACATTGTCAGAGCCTTCCAAAAAAACATTATAAATCACTGTAACATACACATGAGTTAGTTCTCTTCTATCGGCATTGTCTGGTAAGATCCTTTTTAGGGTCTGAGTTGAGGTTAAGCAAAGATCATCGTCATAGTTGGATCAAACATTGACTATTGGTGAGTAAGTAGAAACAACTGCTGTACTCCTGTGTGAAAGCCGAGGACAATTTACACCTGTCCAGAATCAGGGCATTTAAAATCCGTCCTGCAGTGAATGTTCCCAGTTAAAAAAGGATTTGATGCCAAACAGCAGCACACTGGCAGTGGGTGGCCTCATGTCCGTCCTTTACCTCCATGAGGAAATGGATTTGTTGGGGGAAGTTGCTGCTTGCATGATGCTTAACATACATTTTAGAACAGCAGTATGTGGAGCTCAGTAATCATGTGTTGTGCTTGAATGCATGCATGATTCTGTGAGTAACAGCCTGCTAAATATGACTGTGCTGGTAAGGATCATTATGATAATGTGGTAAAAGCACATAATGAGCCGGTACCATAAGGGAAGAGGACATGAAGCAGACCTCTCCCTCACAGGCCTCCCACAGGTTTTTCTAAATCTTTGGACTGTTGCTGCTCTCCATATTTCCACTTCAAATAAAACGTTATTTATAGAGCACTTTTCACACACAAAGGTAACTCAAAGTGCTTCACAAACCAAAAACATGATGAGGATAATAGTATTTCCCCCTTCCCTGGTAATTATCACAGTAACACATAGCTTTGTGATTAAAAAGAGCACTTAAAGGTGTCATGGCCATTTCCACTGATCATAATTCCATTGTTGAGGTCTACTAGAATAGATTTATATTGTGCATTTTTCCAAACTCACATTGGTTTCTCATACAGCATCTCTGTAAACTACGTGTATTCACTGAATTTCACTCTCTGCCTTTAACGGCTCGTTGTAGCTCCAATAGCTCCAGCCCCCACCCTCCCTGTGAGCACAGTGTGCTCTGATTGGTCGGGACGTTGTGAATCGCGCTGAGCTCTGTGGAGGTGTTGTTTCCTTGTTTAGCGATACACAGCCAAACACAGCCAAACTCATCCTGAGCACACACAAAGTCACAGCCGAAGTAAAAACAATAAGTGTGGCTTGATATTGAGTAAGAAAAAGGTTGATAAACGCTGTGAGAATGGGTCTGCAGAGAGAATGGGTCTGCAGAGAGAATGGGTCTGCAGAGAGAATTTCGCCACGATCCCAACTGTCTGTTATCAGCCTGCAGCCAGGGAGGAGAAATCAGCTGAGCTGCCTGCTCCCTGCACACAGATGTGTGTGTGAGGAAGTCTGTGGATTGGTCAATTTGGACCAATCAGCGGGGGCTTAACGTAACGGCTCCGCGGACGTAACGTAACGGCTCCACGGATTGGTCCATTTCGTTCCGGGTACGGCTTGACATCATGCCGTACCCGGAAGAATCAAATGGGCAGTGACGTATCTCCAACGAGGCGTTTTGGGGAGGTATTTTCTGTGTTAGAGTTTTACTCGCTACAGGGTGTACTTTGAGGGTTTTGACTCTGCACACCGTTTACATGCATAAAAACCTTCATAACACACAAGGGGACGGGTAATAACCGGAAAAGCATGACATGTCTCCTTTAAAACCAATGCATGTTTATAAATAAAAAAATAAATAAAATAAAATGTACAATACAATTACAATAAAATAAGAATATAAATACAGATCAGCTAAAACCAAAATGAAACTTCACTCTTTTCTCTTTTCATCCTTTTCCCCCGTATTGCCTCTGCATTGATTCCCCTCCTTTAGGTAAAGAAGGGAATAGGAGATGAGTTTGAGGAAAGACAGTAGATGACACAAACATTTAAGTTGACTGATTGTGTTTTTGAATGAGAGGGCGATTGTGCGTACAGGACACACTGATGATGTGAGGAAGAGCAAAACGGAGCATGGTTTGTTGAACACGTTTGTCCGACTGGAAGCTTTCGCTGTCAGAACTTCCAGCAGCAATTCACTTGTTCCTGATTGTCTCATTCCACATGATTGATAGTAGTACCTATGAAAAGCAAAAATTGAAATGCATACTAAACAGTCGAGGAGAAAAAGGATAAGCTGTTGAAAAACAATGTGGACTGCTTGAGAAATTCTCAAACTTGTTAGGTTTTACTTAGCAGGAAGGATTATGTGTTGGCTCTGAAGCAGAGCACGCACATTCTGCTGAGCTCATCAGAGGCAGATACATCAGAACATCTGTAGCATCTTTTATTGTTGATTCAGCAATTAAGGTGATTTTGATGCCTATGTATAAGCTGACTGAATTGCAATGCAGCCATGTCAATCTGCCCTTTCCAACTTCACACGTGTTTCATGTTCCCTTCGATGCAGTCGTCTACGGATGTCATTGGGTGTTTCTCAATGTCGAGTAAAGCTGCTCCAGAGCCACTATTTCAAGCATACTACGTCATCGAGTGCCGCCGAAGGACTGTTCCAATGTCCAGCATACTTGGAATTCTACGGAGCCCGGCGTACTTCGTAGCGAGACATTTCGAGGCTGCACATGTGTAGACTCCGCGGTCTTAAAATCCCCACAATGCTTTGCGCATGGAGCAATTTCCCCAAATCTGTGGCGGAAGATGTAAGGCGGGGCCTCTCATATGACGCACACCTGCACACTTGTTAGCCTGTTCCACTCTTTGTTTTCCGAATGCCAGGAAGTATTCTTGCCTCGCTTCTGAAGCAAGTGACTCGGAAGACATGTGCTACCAAGCAAGCGTACTCAACATTGAGAAACACCCATTGTTTGTGATCAGTGATTTAAAAACCTCTTCTTCCAAAATGTTTAACCACACTACCTATATGGCTTGAGATATTGCAAAAAGTTGATGGTATATCTTTCACCACTTTGGTCCATCTTGAGTATCTCAGCAGCTTAGATAGTCCTAATGTCTTTGGTGACCCCTCGACCTTTCCTGTAGTGCCTACACAAGATGTTTTTCATTGAAATGTCTGAAAAATTGCTATAAAATCTGACTCATACTACCTAGAACAAATATCCGTATGACATTCATGTTGTCTGAAATCGCATATAGCACCACTAGGTCAATATTTTCACCTATCATGTAAAGTTGGGTTGGAGTCAATACTTTGACATTTATTGGATGGATTACTATGAAATGTGTTAAAGTCATGGTCCCATTGGGAATGACCCTAATGAAGTTGGTGACTCACATATATTCATACAGTGAAATGTCTCTTATCAGCCATTTGGAACAGATATTCATCCAATAAAATATATTTGAATGACTTGGGTAATCCTTCGTCTTTTTATCTAGCAACATCATTTAGTAAAAACTGTTGCTGTGCAAAACTCAGTCATCAGCTTCAAATGTACTTTGTTTAATGCTAGTTGGCTAAAAGTAGCGTGTAAACATACTAAGTTGAGATGTGCACATCTTGACTTGTTCCTCCTTTACCTCTGCACATTCGCATTGTCCTTCAGAGCTAATGCTATCATTCCACAGATCACCCACTGATGTTTTCCTTCCTCCCTCTAGAAACACCACAGTCCTCAACTCCAAAGTGTTATCAGTGACCATCAAGCCCACCCCCGCCTCCCTCTCCGCCCCGGTGGTGGTTGAATTCTCTCACCTGTACAACGTGAGTAGCTTTTGTCTTCAATATATTGATCTAATATGACATGATGTGGTATTACCGGTTATCTTTCATGCTGATCATATATTTGTTCTGCCCCCATCCATTAGGGCACCACCAACCAGACGTGTATATCCTGGGATGAGAGTGACAGGTGAGTTTTACAGTTTTGGTGATTTGTCTTTTGATCATGCTAGTAGGTCTTTTGTATGTAATCCTAATCATTGTACCATGCGACATGGAGGATCCACCTATTCTGATTCTACCCCATACTTGAAATTGCCTGTATTATAGCTTCTATAATAGCTTCTACATGATTCTTCTTGTTGATCCTCTAACTTTATGACAATTTAGTTAGCCGGAGTACGCTGCCACTAACCAATATTCAGTAACTCCCTGTTTATACATCTGCCCTACACAAAATCTATATTTTTCCAGACGTTTTGTAATTGTGACTTCCTCTTTCCAAACGGATGAACCTCAATGTTTCGGATAACATGATTTTTATCATTTAATGCTAAAATCAAACCACTTAGATTTGCATTAGATTTGCCAAAATAGCAGAACATATCACTATATATGTGTTTCTTAAATGCATACATGAAAAAAACGTAATGGCATAATTTGATGTCTTTCTTTGCAATGGACAAATCAGGGCCAATATTCAGTCTTGTTCTTTTGCAATTGAAGGTAAATAGACTATTTAAATGATCTCATATCAGAGGAATTTGGCACGCAAGCTAATTAAACTGCTTCGTTCTAAAAACCTGAGCTTACACTGGGTTCTTGATGAATGTAATTATTTAGTGGCATATTGGCGACACACTGGTAGTTCCTGGTACTCCATGGAGATGTTTTAGCATGTTCCCTCTGAAAGCTCCATGGCGGCCCAGAGTGTTTTGTATTGAAAAGAACAGAGCACTGCTCCCAGATGAAAGGTGCTGATTGTTTGAAACAGCTCCGCAGCTCTTGTCTGGCAAAGCGCTAACCCCGTGCTATCACTGCTACGACACTGATGCAGCATGTGGAAAATGAAAAGTGTCGCCCACAGCTTTCCTCTCCGTCGCAGCCCACGCACACACACCAACATGTTCCAGAGAGCAGAGCGGAGTCTGAGAGAGAGAGCGTGGCAAGTGTGGCAGGAGGCAAGAATACATATTGAACAGTTTGGTCTTACTGCTTCTGTGGCCAGATCTAAAATCGCTGCTCATTTACTCCTTGCTCACAAGTGCCCTATTTGTTTAAAACAAGAAGAAAGTGAGCATGTGTGAGCGTGAGCACTGAGCGGAGTAAAGAGTGAGGGAGAAGGAAAGAGGCAAACATTTGGAAGCCTTAATGCAATGCAGGTCCAGCATTTGCATTTAGATGGAGGTGAAAAGCAGAACATCCACCGTTTCAGACCAAAAATGAATACGAAGTTTGGCGTGGCACATAACAGACCTGCAGCAGGAGAGAGTCTGAAACATAGAAGACATTTGAAGGAAATAAGAGTCGATACTGAGAAACTGAATGCATGATATCATTCAGCCCTAACAATGCAAAGGTATGAGTATATACAACTAGTAAAACCAGTTTGCCAATATAAAAGTGTTTTTCAAACTTAGATTTCAAGTTAAAATAGAATTTGCGTTGTATTATGTCAATATAAAGTTTCATATTAAAGGCGTATTTTCAATGACTCAAAAAGAAGCTGGCAGGTGCAAATGATACGATTTAAATATGTTTACTTGAATCTAACATTTGTGGGCCTGCTGTTGTAGTTAACATATGTTGGCATTTTGTTCTTAATATAATGCACAATAAGGGACAATTTGATATAATAAAGTGTGCTGTCTAATTGGCCTTTCCCAACTCACCTACTCTGCTGCTATAGGCTTTTGTTTTGAAACAGCTGCAGGAAGTATTGTGTGTATTTTCAGAAGTGTGTCAATTGTTTGATTCGTTTGAAACAGGTTTGAATACAAAAGTGAAGATAGTGATTTGGGACATTTCAAAAATGTCCCAAATTGGGATCAATAAAGTACTTCTTATCTTATAAACAGTATGTCATGGAAAGCGGAGAAGGGTGAACCTAAATGCAGGAGAAAGATTATCTTCACACAAATTCATTATTTTTAAGAAATGTAACTAAATCACAAGCAGAATAGAACATAACTTAACAATGTACACCAAACAAGAATCCAGGGGGGGGGGGGGGGGGGGCTTTTGTGTTAAAGATGGAATTAGTGCCTTTTATGGCAAAAGAAATGTTTTGCCATTTTATTTGTTGGACATATTTATGTTCATTACACACAGTATGTAATGAAAACCATAAACATGTGCTAATTGCTAATCGGAAGTGTTCTACATCCTCTGAACGGTTATCATTAGCTGTATGATCATCACTTTCTCAGAATGATGTACATTTCCACAGCACTCTATTTCTACTTAGTCGTCTTAAGCCTCAGCACAGGTGATAGCTGGGGCCGGGGGCATTATGTTTTTGGGTTGACTACACTTGTCCCAGTTCCCTGAATGCAACATCTCAAAACATCTGGAGGGAATTTCAAAAAAAGGTTCACCTGGACCTGTATAAAGTCATTAGTATTTGGTAACACAAGGTTGAAGGTCAATGTCACTGTAACATGACAATAGTTATTTGGATGTTGGCCATAACTCAAGGATCCGTGCGGTAATTATGATAACTTTACACAAATGGCTTCAATCCAAGCTCAATGAAACTCAACAGTTTATTGGGCAGATATTTCTCATTAAAAGCGTTCTAGTTTTGTCGTTCTCTACCTTTTCTTTGTTTCGTTGGCTTGCTTTGTTACGGAGCTGTAGAACGTTTTGAGATTGATTGACAGGAATTGCAAACACTGTATAAATTCAGAGCAGCAGATTAGTGAGGACGACATGAATCTGCTGTTCGCTGCTAACGGAGGTAATGCTGTAGAAATGTATTTTATAGAACAGACTGCCACTGCCTTTATTTGTTTTCAAGATGCCCTTTTTATCAAAGCAAGGACAATGAATCTAATCATTTGGCGTGTGTGGTTCGGGGGGGGTGACACGTCTTTTCAACATTACAATTCATCTTGGACAGCAGGCATGATTAATGAGTTCATATTTGGGGGAGAAATTGGAAACTGAAGAGGCGTCGGCGTGTTGATAAGAGACGTGGAGCAGCAGGGCTTCAGTCTGCTGAAACTGATAAGAGCCTCAGCAGCTCCTTCTCTCCTCTCTCTGACATCAGCTCTGAGATGTGTTTAGGTTCATCCCGTGTTTTGTAGTTCCACCTGTTGGCTAACTCTTTATGCTAGTTCTGTATGAAGAGTGTAATAGATGTGTCCGGCAGTGGCTCAGTAAGTAGGGGCTTGGACTGTGAGCCGTAGGGTCGCCGGTTCAAGTCCCCAACCAGACCTAAATATGGAGTGTGGTCTGCTACTTGGAGAGGTCCCAGTCCACCTCCTGCCCTGCCGTGGTGCCCTTGAGCAAGGCACAGGACACCCCCCCCACACCCGGGCGCTGTACAATAGCTCCTAGTAGACTCCTGGTACTAGGATGGGTTAAATGCAGAGAACACATTTCACTGTGTGCTGTGTGCTCTTCATGTGAGAGCATTATAGAGGGGTTCATCCCTCCCATTCTATTCTATGTAATACCATGACAGGAAATGAAGAAAGAGAAAGATGGTGAACAGTATGCAGAGAGGTTTAAATTAATTGGAATTCATCTCATGTAACCTAACCCTGAACTATGGTGTTTAAAAAGACACTAAATTGCATTTTAGATTGTTAGTAACTTCCTCAGCCTTTCACTTACAGTATACAGTACATCTTGATTTTTAACATGGAAAGACGGACTGTACAGTAGAATAATACCTCACCTGAAATGGACTATTATCCACCCCACAAACATTATGCATTACATGAATGTAAACAACATGTTTCTTAATACTGTGAGTCATGCTCAGCTCTCTGAATACACTGCACACATGTCTGCATAGCCCTCTACTTTAAAATATAATACACTGCAGTATGTCATTTATTGTCATATTCATTGTACTAGGTGTTTTATTTTTTTAGCTTTTAAGTTTCTTTTGTATATTTAAATTTAAATTTGATGTAAATACTTGTTTTTATAATTTTTTATTGCTAAATGGTTCTTACAACTTATTTTCTTATATTGTTTATGTGTAAATGTACCTGGCAATAAAGTTGATTCTGATTCTGACACTATTGCTTATTAATAATGTGTGTAAATGCACAGGCCCGTGATCAGATGCCATTACCCAATACGAATGAAGGTACAAACCTCTTAAACCACACACACCTGCACTGACTGCAGTCAATGAATTGATGTCATCACTCCAAACATTGGAGCCTGTTTGCAGGGCCTTCATTCCTTATTAGTGTTAAAACTGTTATGCAAGCCCATTGACCCTTAAGCCAATGTTCTACTTAACGCATTGGCAAGTTCATAAAGGTCAGAGTGACGTACATGTTATCATCAGAAGGTGTATACCAAGGCTCTGTGCAAACTCCAAGTACTGACAATCCTTTCAGAGTGTGGACAGTCCACAGCAAAGTGGGAGCAGAATGATCTTCTGTGCATAGAAGGAATGCAGCCGGGTTGTTTTTGCAGTTGTCTGTGTCCATGTCTGTTTGGAAGTATAACCAAGAGTGTAGTCTTATCCTATTCTTTAATGGGACTTTTGCACAGGTACTAAATAAGTGTCTACCAATCAGAGGGTCAGGGATTTGATTCCAGACCCTGTAGTGTCCTTGGGCAACATACTTATCACCAAATTGCTCCTTTAGGCATGTCTAAAGTATTAAAGAGTATGTATATTGCTTTGGGCAAAAGCGTCAGTTAAATGAGATTGTACCCTATTATGTACCCTATTATGCAGAAACTAATATGTACATATGGTTGTCTTGCAGACACCAAATAACTATAGCTGCGACTGAAAACATTACTTTCAGATGTGGATCACTTTGAAGAATCCTTAGCAGAGCCTGTACACTGAAACTGAAATGGTTGTGTGCTTAAGAAACATTTTTGTCAGACAGCAATTTCCTTAATCTCTTTATCTAATGGTTGTAGATTAACTCTTAATGTGTGTCACCAGGAAATTCAAGTCTCTGAATGAACAACTAATTTTGTCACATC